CTAGAAGGCTTCCATTATTTTTCTTTGTTGTTTCCCTCTGGGCCCCGGCTAGAAGGCTTCCATTATTTTTCTTTGTTGTTTCCCTCTGGGCCCCGGCTAGAAGGCTTCCATTATTTTTCTTTGTTGTTTCCCTCTGGGCCCCGGCTAGAAGGCTTCCATTATTTTTCTTTGTTGTTTCCCTCTGGGCCCCGGCTAGAAGGCTTCCATTATTTTTCTTTGTTGTTTCCCTCTGGGCCCCGGCTAGAAGGCTTCCATTATTTTTCTTTGTTGTTTCCCTCTGGGCCCCGGCTAGAAGGCTTCCATTATTTTTCTTTGTTGTTTCCCTCTGGGCCCCGGCTAGAAGGCTTCCATTATTTTTCTTTGTTGTTTCCCTCTGGGCCCCGGCTAGAAGGCTTCCATTATTTTTCTTTGTTGTTTCCCTCTGGGCCCCGGCTAGAAGGCTTCCATTATTTTTCTTTGTTGTTTCCCTCTGGGCCCCGGCTAGAAGGCTTCCATTATTTTTCTTTGTTGTTTCCCTCTGGGCCCCGGCTAGAAGGCTTCCATTATTTTTCTTTGTTGTTTCCCTCTGGGCCCCGGCTAGAAGGCTTCCATTATTTTTCTTTGTTGTTTCCCTCTGGGCCCCGGCTAGAAGGCTTCCATTATTTTTCTTTGTTGTTTCCCTCTGGGCCCCGGCTAGAAGGCTTCCATTATTTTTCTTTGTTGTTTCCCTCTGGGCCCCGGCTAGAAGGCTTCCATTATTTTTCTTTGTTGTTTCCCTCTGGGCCCCGGCTAGAAGGCTTCCATTATTTTTCTTTGTTGTTTCCCTCTGGGCCCCGGCTAGAAGGCTTCCATTATTTTTCTTTGTTGTTTCCCTCTGGGCCCCGGCTAGAAGGCTTCCATTATTTTTCTTTGTTGTTTCCCTCTGGGCCCCGGCTAGAAGGCTTCCATTATTTTTCTTTGTTGTTTCCCTCTGGGCCCCGGCTAGAAGGCTTCCATTATTTTTCTTTGTTGTTTCCCTCTGGGCCCCGGCTAGAAGGCTTCCATTATTTTTCTTTGTTGTTTCCCTCTGGGCCCCGGCTAGAAGGCTTCCATTATTTTTCTTTGTTGTTTCCCTCTGGGCCCCGGCTAGAAGGCTTCCATTATTTTTCTTTGTTGTTTCCCTCTGGGCCCCGGCTAGAAGGCTTCCATTATTTTTCTTTGTTGTTTCCCTCTGGGCCCCGGCTAGAAGGCTTCCATTATTTTTCTTTGTTGTTTCCCTCTGGGCCCCGGCTAGAAGGCTTCCATTATTTTTCTTTGTTGTTTCCCTCTGGGCCCCGGCTAGAAGGCTTCCATTATTTTTCTTTGTTGTTTCCCTCTGGGCCCCGGCTAGAAGGCTTCCATTATTTTTCTTTGTTGTTTCCCTCTGGGCCCCGGCTAGAAGGCTTCCATTATTTTTCTTTGTTGTTTCCCTCTGGGCCCCGGCTAGAAGGCTTCCATTATTTTTCTTTGTTGTTTCCCTCTGGGCCCCGGCTAGAAGGCTTCCATTATTTTTCTTTGTTGTTTCCCTCTGGGCCCCGGCTAGAAGGCTTCCATTATTTTTCTTTGTTGTTTCCCTCTGGGCCCCGGCTAGAAGGCTTCCATTATTTTTCTTTGTTGTTTCCCTCTGGGCCCCGGCTAGAAGGCTTCCATTATTTTTCTTTGTTGTTTCCCTCTGGGCCCCGGCTAGAAGGCTTCCATTATTTTTCTTTGTTGTTTCCCTCTGGGCCCCGGCTAGAAGGCTTCCATTATTTTTCTTTGTTGTTTCCCTCTGGGCCCCGGCTAGAAGGCTTCCATTATTTTTCTTTGTTGTTTCCCTCTGGGCCCCGGCTAGAAGGCTTCCATTATTTTTCTTTGTTGTTTCCCTCTGGGCCCCGGCTAGAAGGCTTCCATTATTTTTCTTTGTTGTTTCCCTCTGGGCCCCGGCTAGAAGGCTTCCATTATTTTTCTTTGTTGTTTCCCTCTGGGCCCCGGCTAGAAGGCTTCCATTATTTTTCTTTGTTGTTTCCCTCTGGGCCCCGGCTAGAAGGCTTCCATTATTTTTCTTTGTTGTTTCCCTCTGGGCCCCGGCTAGAAGGCTTCCATTATTTTTCTTTGTTGTTTCCCTCTGGGCCCCGGCTAGAAGGCTTCCATTATTTTTCTTTGTTGTTTCCCTCTGGGCCCCGGCTAGAAGGCTTCCATTATTTTTCTTTGTTGTTTCCCTCTGGGCCCCGGCTAGAAGGCTTCCATTATTTTTCTTTGTTGTTTCCCTCTGGGCCCCGGCTAGAAGGCTTCCATTATTTTTCTTTGTTGTTTCCCTCTGGGCCCCGGCTAGAAGGCTTCCATTATTTTTCTTTGTTGTTTCCCTCTGGGCCCCGGCTAGAAGGCTTCCATTATTTTTCTTTGTTGTTTCCCTCTGGGCCCCGGCTAGAAGGCTTCCATTATTTTTCTTTGTTGTTTCCCTCTGGGCCCCGGCTAGAAGGCTTCCATTATTTTTCTTTGTTGTTTCCCTCTGGGCCCCGGCTAGAAGGCTTCCATTATTTTTCTTTGTTGTTTCCCTCTGGGCCCCGGCTAGAAGGCTTCCATTATTTTTCTTTGTTGTTTCCCTCTGGGCCCCGGCTAGAAGGCTTCCATTATTTTTCTTTGTTGTTTCCCTCTGGGCCCCGGCTAGAAGGCTTCCATTATTTTTCTTTGTTGTTTCCCTCTGGGCCCCGGCTAGAAGGCTTCCATTATTTTTCTTTGTTGTTTCCCTCTGGGCCCCGGCTAGAAGGCTTCCATTATTTTTCTTTGTTGTTTCCCTCTGGGCCCCGGCTAGAAGGCTTCCATTATTTTTCTTTGTTGTTTCCCTCTGGGCCCCGGCTAGAAGGCTTCCATTATTTTTCTTTGTTGTTTCCCTCTGGGCCCCGGCTAGAAGGCTTCCATTATTTTTCTTTGTTGTTTCCCTCTGGGCCCCGGCTAGAAGGCTTCCATTATTTTTCTTTGTTGTTTCCCTCTGGGCCCCGGCTAGAAGGCTTCCATTATTTTTCTTTGTTGTTTCCCTCTGGGCCCCGGCTAGAAGGCTTCCATTATTTTTCTTTGTTGTTTCCCTCTGGGCCCCGGCTAGAAGGCTTCCATTATTTTTCTTTGTTGTTTCCCTCTGGGCCCCGGCTAGAAGGCTTCCATTATTTTTCTTTGTTGTTTCCCTCTGGGCCCCGGCTAGAAGGCTTCCATTATTTTTCTTTGTTGTTTCCCTCTGGGCCCCGGCTAGAAGGCTTCCATTATTTTTCTTTGTTGTTTCCCTCTGGGCCCCGGCTAGAAGGCTTCCATTATTTTTCTTTGTTGTTTCCCTCTGGGCCCCGGCTAGAAGGCTTCCATTATTTTTCTTTGTTGTTTCCCTCTGGGCCCCGGCTAGAAGGCTTCCATTATTTTTCTTTGTTGTTTCCCTCTGGGCCCCGGCTAGAAGGCTTCCATTATTTTTCTTTGTTGTTTCCCTCTGGGCCCCGGCTAGAAGGCTTCCATTATTTTTCTTTGTTGTTTCCCTCTGGGCCCCGGCTAGAAGGCTTCCATTATTTTTCTTTGTTGTTTCCCTCTGGGCCCCGGCTAGAAGGCTTCCATTATTTTTCTTTGTTGTTTCCCTCTGGGCCCCGGCTAGAAGGCTTCCATTATTTTTCTTTGTTGTTTCCCTCTGGGCCCCGGCTAGAAGGCTTCCATTATTTTTCTTTGTTGTTTCCCTCTGGGCCCCGGCTAGAAGGCTTCCATTATTTTTCTTTGTTGTTTCCCTCTGGGCCCCGGCTAGAAGGCTTCCATTATTTTTCTTTGTTGTTTCCCTCTGGGCCCCGGCTAGAAGGCTTCCATTATTTTTCTTTGTTGTTTCCCTCTGGGCCCCGGCTAGAAGGCTTCCATTATTTTTCTTTGTTGTTTCCCTCTGGGCCCCGGCTAGAAGGCTTCCATTATTTTTCTTTGTTGTTTCCCTCTGGGCCCCGGCTAGAAGGCTTCCATTATTTTTCTTTGTTGTTTCCCTCTGGGCCCCGGCTAGAAGGCTTCCATTATTTTTCTTTGTTGTTTCCCTCTGGGCCCCGGCTAGAAGGCTTCCATTATTTTTCTTTGTTGTTTCCCTCTGGGCCCCGGCTAGAAGGCTTCCATTATTTTTCTTTGTTGTTTCCCTCTGGGCCCCGGCTAGAAGGCTTCCATTATTTTTCTTTGTTGTTTCCCTCTGGGCCCCGGCTAGAAGGCTTCCATTATTTTTCTTTGTTGTTTCCCTCTGGGCCCCGGCTAGAAGGCTTCCATTATTTTTCTTTGTTGTTTCCCTCTGGGCCCCGGCTAGAAGGCTTCCATTATTTTTCTTTGTTGTTTCCCTCTGGGCCCCGGCTAGAAGGCTTCCATTATTTTTCTTTGTTGTTTCCCTCTGGGCCCCGGCTAGAAGGCTTCCATTATTTTTCTTTGTTGTTTCCCTCTGGGCCCCGGCTAGAAGGCTTCCATTATTTTTCTTTGTTGTTTCCCTCTGGGCCCCGGCTAGAAGGCTTCCATTATTTTTCTTTGTTGTTTCCCTCTGGGCCCCGGCTAGAAGGCTTCCATTATTTTTCTTTGTTGTTTCCCTCTGGGCCCCGGCTAGAAGGCTTCCATTATTTTTCTTTGTTGTTTCCCTCTGGGCCCCGGCTAGAAGGCTTCCATTATTTTTCTTTGTTGTTTCCCTCTGGGCCCCGGCTAGAAGGCTTCCATTATTTTTCTTTGTTGTTTCCCTCTGGGCCCCGGCTAGAAGGCTTCCATTATTTTTCTTTGTTGTTTCCCTCTGGGCCCCGGCTAGAAGGCTTCCATTATTTTTCTTTGTTGTTTCCCTCTGGGCCCCGGCTAGAAGGCTTCCATTATTTTTCTTTGTTGTTTCCCTCTGGGCCCCGGCTAGAAGGCTTCCATTATTTTTCTTTGTTGTTTCCCTCTGGGCCCCGGCTAGAAGGCTTCCATTATTTTTCTTTGTTGTTTCCCTCTGGGCCCCGGCTAGAAGGCTTCCATTATTTTTCTTTGTTGTTTCCCTCTGGGCCCCGGCTAGAAGGCTTCCATTATTTTTCTTTGTTGTTTCCCTCTGGGCCCCGGCTAGAAGGCTTCCATTATTTTTCTTTGTTGTTTCCCTCTGGGCCGGGGCGTTAGGCCTAGTGATAAAATCAAGGGCTGCAATCAAGGGCTGGTCAAACACTAAGGTATACAAACCACACACATGTGCTGACCCCCAAGAGAAGCACAGGAAAAATGATTCAAAGAAATACCAATATTGTCTAATTATTCAACAAACCCAAATCAACAAGAAATACCAATATTGTCTAATTATTCAACAAACCCCAATCAACAAGAAATACCAATATTGTCTAATTATTCAACAAACCCCAATCAACAAGAAATACAAAATGCCCTAATATATAAAATTTATAACTAATTGACCTGGGCTGGCCAATACTCGATCACACTAGCTGGCCAACATTAGATGACACCAGCTGGCCAACATTAGATGACACCAGCTGGCCAACATTAGATGACACCAGCTGGCCAACATTAGATGACACCAGCTGGCCAACATTAGATGACACCAGCTGGCCAACATTAGATGACACCAGCTGGCCAACATTAGATGACACCAGCTGGCCAACATTAGATGACACCAGCTGGCCAACATTAGATGACACCAGCTGGCCAACATTAGATGACACCAGCTGGCCAACATTAGATGACACCAGCTGGCCAACATTAGATGACACCAGCTGGCCAACATTAGATGACACCAGCTGGCCAACATTAGATGACACCAGCTGGCCAACATTAGATGACACCAGCTGGCCAACATTAGATGACACCAGCTGGCCAACATTAGATGACACCAGCTGGCCAACATTAGATGACACCAGCTGGCCAACATTGGATGACATGGCCAACATTGGATGACACCAGCTGGCCAACATTAGATGACACCAGCTGGCCAACATTAGATGACACCCCCCACCCGACATGACGTACCCAAGTTGCTGGAGCACCTAGAAGCTATACTCTGACGACGGCCTTTCTTCTCTTCCACTTCCACTTCCGGTTGCAGGCTGTGTGTTTCCGGTGCGACTTCCGGTTGTTTTGGTAGTCTCCAGGAAGCTGAGCATTGGCTCTCGTAGACCTGGGAAATGATATTTTAACAATGCCAACATTTTTGGTAAAGTTACCAGAGGCCAACTGTTGTGGTAAAACCAAAGGCCAACAGTTTTGGTAAAACCACAGGCCAACATTTTTGGTAAAACCACAGGCCAACATTTTTGGTAAAACCATAGGCCAACATTTTTGGTAAAACCACAGGCCAACATTTTTGGTAAAACCACAGGCCAACATTTTTGGTAAAACCATAGGCCAACATTTTTGGTAAAACCACAGGCCAACATTTTTGGTAAAACCATAGGCCAACATTTTTGGTAAAACCACAGGCCAACATTTTTGGTAAAACCACAGGCCACCATTTTGGGAAAAACCTTAGGCCAACATTTTTGGTAAAACCACAGGCCAACATTTTTGGTAAAACCACAGGCCACCATTTTGGGTAAAACCATAGGCCAACATTTTTGGTAAAACCACAGGCCAACATTTTTGGTAAAACCACAGGCCACCATTTTGGGTAAAACCATAGGCCAACATTTTTGGTAAAACCACAGGCCAACATTTTTGGTAAAACCACAGGCCACCATTTTGGGTAAAACCATAGGCCAACATTTTTGGTAAAACCACAGGCCAACATTTTTGGTAAAACCACAGGCCAACATTTTTGGTAAAACCACAGGCCAACATTTTTGGTAAAACCACAGGCCAACATTTTTGGTAAAACCACAGGCCAACATTTTTGGTAAAACCACAGGCCAACATTTTTGGTAAAACCATAGGCCAACATTTTTGGTAAAACCACAGGCCAACATTTTTGGTAAAACCATAGGCCAACATTTTTGGTAAAACCACAGGCCAACATTTTTGGTAAAACCACAGGCCACCATTTTGGGAAAAACCTTAGGCCAACATTTTTGGTAAAACCACAGGCCAACATTTTTGGTAAAACCACAGGCCACCATTTTGGGTAAAACCATAGGCCAACATTTTTGGTAAAACCACAGGCCAACATTTTTGGTAAAACCACAGGCCACCATTTTGGGTAAAACCATAGGCCAACATTTTTGGTAAAACCACAGGCCAACATTTTTGGTAAAACCACAGGCCACCATTTTGGGTAAAACCATAGGCCAACATTTTTGGTAAAACCACAGGCCAACATTTTTGGTAAAACCACAGGCCAACATTTTTGGTAAAACCACAGGCCAACATTTTTGGTAAAACCACAGGCCAACATTTTTGGTAAAACCACAGGCCAACATTTTTGGTAAAACCATAGGCCAACATTTTTGGTAAAACCACAGGCCAACATTTTTGGTAAAACCACAGGCCACCATTTTGGGTAAAACCATAGGCCAACATTTTTGGTAAAACCACAGGCCAACATTTTTGGTAAAACCACAGGCCAACATTTTTGGTAAAACCACAGGCCAACATTTTTGGTAAAACCATAGGCCACCATTTTGGGTAAAACCATAGGCCAACATTTTTGGTAAAACCATAGGCCAACATTTTTGGTAAAACCACAGGCCAAAATTTTTGTTAAAACCACAGGCCAACATTTTTGGTAAAACCACAGGCCAACATTTTGTGCAACATATCCTTTTTACAAGCTTTTATTTAACTCACTTCCTCTGTCGTCAGTCTGTCGTCAGTCTAGACGGAAACGCAGGAGTGAAAATTCGGACAGTTCTACTTGACCGATACGATTCACAGTTGGCACGTGGGTCAAGACATGAAGACAATGCAATCTGAAACTAAATTTGACTTAATTGGATGCCTAATTGATTTTTTATGAATTAATTAAAATTTGGACCGAATTAGTAGGCATGTCTAGCCAACCACACCACACGCGTCATCAATAGCTGCGCCATCACGACCACGTAATGGCTGCGTTCAAAAACCATTGCGCGCCTACTGAACGTGATATTCAGAAGGCGCGCAATGGTTTTTAGTCATGTAACTCTATTGTAGATAAAACATGTAAAGTACTGAAAAAAAAATTCATAAAAAACGTTTTAATAACAAGCTTTTATGTAATGATGCACTAAAAAGTAGAAAATAAATTATAGACTACTATTTAAATAACTATAAAGAAAAGCGTGGGTGTCTTCCTTAACATTAGTAAAGGTATCCAATAGATACTAAAGTGACCCACGCTTTTCTTTATAGTTATTTAAATAGTAGTCTATAATTTATTTTCTACTTTTTAGTGCATCATTACATAAAAGCTTGTTATTAAAACGTTTTTTATGAATTTTTTTTTTTACTTTCTCGTATATACGAAGTATAGAGAAAGTCTTGTAATCGTGCAAAAAAAAAAAATCGAGATTTTTACAAATCTCGACGTTTTACACCTCAATGATACGGAAAAACATAATTTTGCAATCTTGTCCGTATGTCTGTGTGTCTGTCTGTCTGTCTGTCTGTGTGTGTGTGTCCGTGTGTAAACACGATAACTTGAATACCGTTACAGCTAGGTTGATGAAATTTCATATATAAGTATTTTATCAAAATCGTAGATCCGTATCAACTTGTGAGCGATTTCCGATAACCGGAAGTGGTACTTTTCCTACTTTGAATTTTTCAAAAGCCTATAACTTGAGTACTATTTCAGATAGATAAATGAAATTTCACATGTAAGTAAAAGATCTAATTCTCTACCTTCTGTTAAATTTTGAGTAATTTCCGTTGACCGGAAGTAGTAATTTACGCTACTTCAGATTTCTCAAAAAACGCATGTAAATTTATAAAATACTAATAATATTGCGCACTATTATGCACATTTTGTTTTGGCGTTCGCTTGGTGCGCAATTCTTTTTTTCTACTAGATTTTATTCTATTTTTAAAAGTTTAAGTAAACAAAAATCATGTCTATATTCCGAGTTGCCATCCCACGCAGTGTTATATTAAAATATTCGAGGACGTTTAGGGGAGATCACTCCCGGTTTATTTCGCTAGTTTCAATTTATTGCGCTCTCGCAACCTTGACCTTCTTCTGATGTCAAGACATTTGAACGAATAATAGCACGCAGTAAAATCAACCCCTATTCCACCTTTAGGATAATTTTTGCAAAATATATCCAACCGTAACCGTAACCGTAACCCTATCACATATCCTTTCTTTTTTGTAAGGCGGGGCTTATTTGGAAAAGAGCCCCGGAAAGACCTGACTTTCGATGAAGTGTGTAGCTTGTAAATCTGGAGTCATGACAAAATGTGTTCAACCAAACAAACCTGGAACAAAACTTTGAACTCCCCCCTCCAGTCACGTGAGCTGGAGCTGTATTGTGATTGGATGTGGCTGCTCGAGTCTGTCCAGCGACTGGCGCTCTGCCTGCTCGAGCTGGCCAGCGAGACGGTCTCGCCATTCTCTGGGGCGTGGGGCAGGTGGACCAGCTTGAAGACATACTCGGCCGTGTTCCGGAAGTCGTCCCTGCCTGCGCATACTATGACGTCAGCCTCGTTTCTGATGCCGAGAGAGTAGAGGAGGCGCTGGGCCTTCCTGGTAAAAATACAGGAAACAGTGAGACCAGTACATGCGTGATGGGAGACTGGACATTACCTGCAGGATGGGACTGGGCATTACCTGTAGGATGGGAGACTGGACATTACCTGTAGGATGGGAGACTGGACATTACCTGCAGGATGGGAGACTGGACATTACCTGCAGGATGAGACTGGACATTACCTGTAGGATGGGACTGGACATTACCTGCAGGATGGGAGACTGGACATTACCTGCAGGATGGGAGACTGGACATTACCTGCAGGATGAGACTGGACATTACCTGTAGGATGGGACTGGACATTACCTGCAGGATGGGAGACTGGACATTACCTGCAGGATTGGACTGGACATTACCTGCAGGATGGGAGACTGGACATTACCTGCAGGATGGGACTGGACATTACCTGTAGGATGGGAGACTGGACATTACCTGCAGGATGGGAGACTGGACATTACCTGCAGGATGTGAGACTGGACATTACCTGCAGGATGGGAGACTGGACATTACCTGCAGGATTGGACTGGACATTACCTGCAGGATGGGAGACTGGACATTACCTGCAGGATGGGAGACTGGACATTACCTGCAGGATGGGAGACTGGACATTACCTGCAGGATGGGAGACTGGACATTACCTGCAGGATGGGAGACTGGACATTACCTGCAGGATGGGAGACTGGACATTACCTGCAGGATTGGACTGGACATTACCTGCAGGATGGGAGACTGGACATTACCTGTAGGATGGGAGACTGGACATTACCTGCAGGATGGGAGACTGGACATTACCTGCAGGATGGGAGACTGGACATTACCTGCGAGGCGTGTGACTTGACTTGGGTCTGCTAAAAGAGACGGACGTTCTGACGCCATTAGAGGAGTCAGCCGGGAAGTCACGACTCGTCAGAGCCGACTTTGGTCTTAGAATTTTTCTTTTCTTTAAAAGTGAGACGCTGTTTGTCACCCTACTTGGACACTCGGAGACCCTATCAGCGCTGACGTCTGCGCCGGCGCGTGGCTCGTCTGCTGCATGCTGGATGACATGCGCAGTCCGTGTGTTCCCGGCCAGCAGCGCCTCGTCCACCGCCGTGTTCCCCCGCAGGTTGAGCTTGTCCAGGCGGAGTTTGTACCTCCTGAGGCTGTGCACCAGCCGGCGGGCGATGGCCCAGTGTCCGGCCATGGCGGCGTAGTGCAGGGCCGTGTTGCCCGCGCCGTCTGCCTGGCTCAGCTCAAAGTCAGGGGCCTGGAGCAGCACGGCCACCAGCTGCTCACGCTCGTAGATGCAGGCGTAGTGCAGGGCGCTGCGACCGTCACGGTCCGTCCGCCCCACGGCCGCCCCCTGCTCGATTAGAGTCATAGCGATGCTGACGCCCCACTCCTCAGGCTCCATAAGGGCGCAGAGAATGAGGGGCGTCCTCTTAAAGCCATCCCGGCACTCAATGTCAAGGCCACTGGCGATAAGGCTCCGGACGTGCTGAAAGTAGCCGAACTTAATGACGTCACACAACGTGCAGGCCGGTCCCCTCAAGACTTGGGCTGTCCTAGGCCTCATGACGTCAGTGGGTGCCTACAGCAGTAGCCGGCTTTACGTTCTAACGATGGTGCCACAGGTTTTACGTCACTTGTTCCACACGTTTTACGTCACTTGTCCCACACGTTTTACGTCACTTGTCCCACACGTTTTACGTCACTTGTCCCACACGTTTTACGTCACTTGTCCCACACGTTTTACGTCACTTGTCCCACACGTTTTACGTCACTTGTCCCACACGTTTTACGTCACTTGGCCCACACGTTTTACGTCACTTGTTCCACACGTTTTACGTCACTTGGCCTACACGTTTTACGTCACTTGGCCCACACGTTTTACGTCACTTGTCCCACACGTTTTACGTCACTTGTCCCACACGTTTTACGTCACTTGTCCCACACGTTTTACGTCACTTGTCCCACACGTTTTACGTCACTTGTCCTACACGTTTTACGTCACTCAACTTTCAGCCATTGGAAATCTGAAAGGACGTCTGTGTATCTCTGGAAATGTGTATCTCTAGATGGAGGTTTAAAGCTGGGGATGTAAAATGTGTATTAATATTTATGTGTTCTTGCGTTAACTAACAAAATCTATTGACGCCAAGTCAAGATTGGCCACGTCAAGATTGGCAAAGTCGAGATCAGTGTTTCTTTCAGGCTTTTTTTTCTCCGGGGGGAGCGGACACTGGTAAATATATGTTTTCTATTATAAATTCCATTTTGTTTGGGGGGGGGGGGGGGAGGCGGTAGACTTTCTTCGGAGAGGCTCAGCCCCCCCCTCCTCCCCCTGAAGAGATGCCTGGAAGAAACACTGGTCGAGATTGGCCTCGTCTAGAACCTATAGCGGCATGGTGATAAAAGTATGAATGACACATGTTGATAAAAGTATGAATGACACATGTTGATAAAAGTATGAATGACACATGTTGATAAAAGTATGAATGACACATGGTGATAAAAGTATGAATGACACATGGTGATAAAAGTATGAATGACACATGGTGATAAAAGTATGAATGACACATGGTGATAAAAGTATGAATGACACATGGTGATAAAAGTATGAATGACACATGGTGATAAAAGTATGAATGACACATGTTGATAAAAGTATGAATGACACATGGTGATAAAAGTATGAATGACACATGGTGATAAAAGTATGAATGACACATTAAGTATTAAAGCGGCATGGTGATAAAAGTATGAATGACACATGGTGATAAAAGTATGAATGACACATAAAGTATTAAAGCGGCATGGTGATAAAAGTATGAATGACACATTAAGTATTAAAGCGGCATGGTGATAAAAGTATGAATGACACATTAAGTATTAAAGCGGCATGGTGATAAAAGTATGAATGACACATAAAGTATTAAAGCGGCATGGTGATAAAAGTATGAATGACACATAAAGTATTAAAGCTACAAGTAGAGAAAGTATGAATGACATTACATACGATTCCTTACACATTACAACGGTAAAGTCAAAAGAGATTCTCTCCCGCTGACGTCACTGAATATGTTGCCGTCAGAAAATCTTCTTTCGAATCCCCGGACGGTTAAATAATGGGCAGGGAAGACTTTTGAATCCCCGGACGGTTAAATAATGGGCGGGGAAGACTTTTGAATCCCCGGACGGTTAAATAATGGGCGGGGAAGACTTTTGAATCCCCGGACGGTTAAATAATGGGCGGGGAAGACTTTTGAATCCCCGGACGGTTAAATAATGGGCGGGGAAGACTTTTGAATCCCCGGACGGTTAAATAATGGACAGGGAAGACTTTTGAATCCCCGGACGGAGACTTGTTGAGATCGATCGGATTGCACTGATGATTGATAATCAAGGGCAAGAAATCAATCACCATGATTAAGTCATTACCAGGTCGATAGGCCCGTGACTCGTGTTCTCCCGTCTCCTGCCAGTTGCTTCAATGGCCGCCAAATGACAGGTTTGTTAAGGAAATTATGGGATAGTTTCCTTGTGTGGCATTTCAAGAGGATTTTCATAAAAGAGATGAAACTCATTAAGAAATTGATTTTTGAAAAAGATGTTGAGTTTGTCGTTACCTACTGGGTGAGTGGGTGGGTAGGTGGGTATCAGCTAACCCATTGTAATGGTGTCGAATATATAATTCAAGATTAGATGGACGGTCAAACATATTTCAAGATTATGTAAACGGTCAAACATAATTCAATAAAAACTGCATGAAAAACGTTTTGATGACAAGATTTTATGTAATAATGCACTAAAAAGGAGAAAAAATATTTTTAAAAAATAATAACTAGCCGGCCAGGCCCTGCGCTTGCCTCTCTGAAAAATCTATCTGTAAAGTAAACGTGACTTGTTTTTTTTAAAGCAGCTTATACACAGCATTGCCCGGGTTTAGGAAATATATTACTTGTACAATTGAATGTGTATATATGCAAATATAGACGCATAACCGTAAACCTAACCCTAACTGTAAAATTATTCCTAACCATAACCAACCACAACAAAAACTAAAACAAAAATACAAACAAAAACACAAACGTAAACTAAAACACGAACGCAAACGTAAACGTAACGTAAACAAAAACATAAACGCAAATGTAAACACTAAGACAAATGCAAAAAACATACACAAACGTAAACACTACCGCAAACACTACCGCACACGCAAACGCAACCGCAAACGCACACACAAACACAAACATCAAAACAAACTGTAAAAAAAGTGTTTATTTATTTTTTGTAAGTCACATATATATTTGGTACTAGGGGTGTAATTTGTATACTTTAAAAAAAATTAGAATTTTTGTAAAGGGTAGTACATTTATTTTAATTTTTCTCTTTTCACGTTATGTCAATCAAAAAGTTAAAAAAATGTAAATTTAGTTTAAAATGTATCAATATTGATCTTTAAAAATTATTAATTACGATTTTATTTCAAAAGCAAACACTTTAAGAATATTACAATATGGCGATGAAGTCAAGTTTTTTTAACTGTATGTATGTGTACAACGGGTCCGTTCGCTGTCACGTACATACAGAGCCACTGAGTTCATTTGAACTTTATACATTAGATACACTTCAATTAAAATTACCATATACTATATTAAGATAATAATACAAATATTAAGTAAGAGATCTACGCTTTTCTTTGTAGTAATTTTAATTTTAGTGTATCATTATATATTTAATAAATAAAAAAAATTATTTTCTTCTTTTTATTGTATTATAAAAGCTTGTTATTAAAACGTTTTTTCATGCAATTTTTGCTTTCTCGTATACGAAGTATAGAGGAAGTATTGTAATCGTGAAAAAAATCGAAATAAATTTTTCCACAAATCTCGATGTTTTACAACTCCATGAGTCGGAAAAACATAGTTTTGCAATTTTGTCCATATGCCTGTGTGTTTGCGTATGTATGTATGTATGTGCGTATGTCTGTGAACACGATACTTTGAGTACTGTTACAGGTTGATGAAATTTTATATATAAGTATTATACCGAATGTGTAGTTCTGTATCAACTTTTCAGAGATTTCCGGTAACAGGAAGTGGACTTATTCCACTTTTGGTTTTTCAGATAGATAAACGAAATTTTTCTGCCTTCCCTCAAATTTTGAGTAATTTCCGTTGATCGGAAGTAGTAATTTACGCTATTTCCGATTTCTCAAAAAACGATTATGAATTTATAAAGTAATAGCCGCCCGGCCAGGCCCTGCACAGGCCTCTGTGAAAAACCTACATGTAAAGGACTATGACATATGTTTTTAGTAATCAGCTTATACCCGGCATTGCCCACCCTAACCACAACCAATAAAAAAAACGCAAACACAATGCAAACACAAATACAAACACAAACGAAAACACAAACCCAAACCCAACCACATACACAAATACAAAGAAAACAAACGAAAAAGCAAACGAAAACAAACCAAATCCAAACGCAAACCCAATCACAAACGCAAACCCAACCCATACACAAAGTAAAGAAAAACGTAAACATAAACGCAAAGTGCTGACAGTCTACCCCGGGGCGCCAAAGTCGCACCATGCTGGGGCGCCGTCGGAACCGCCTTTTTCAGCTTAATAAACGACTATGTTACCCAAACTTGTTCATAGCCTTTTGCACTCACTCAAACGACAGTTTTCACCGTTTTACTTCTCAGAACTTCATCATATATGGAGTTTAGGGGACTTATTTTAATCGGGCAGAAATTCTAAATCCAGATTTATAAAATTTTCGGCGTTTTTGGAAAAACTGGGTTTTGTAATTCTGTCCGTGTGTGTATGTGTGTCTGAGAACACGTTACAACTACGTTGATGAAATTTCATATATAAGTATTATATCGACTTTGTAGTAATGTATGAACTTTTTAGCTATTTTAAAAATTAATAAAAAAGGATTAAAAAATCATATTCCGAGTCGCCACCCACCCGTAGTGTCATATATTCGAGAAAGTTTAGGGGAGATCACTCCCGTTTAATTTATATGACTAAAATACATTGCGCACCAAATGAACATGATAATGCGCGTATAAGAGCGCGGAACAGTAGTATAGGACAGAATACTAATTTAAGAAAATGTTAATATATTCATAAAAATTTAATTAGGCATCCCATCAAGTCAAATTTAATGTCATATTGCATTGTCTTCAAGTCTTGACCCACATGCAAACTTTGACACGAAACAAATTTAATGTCATATTGCATTGTCTTCAAGTCTTGACCCACATGCAAACTTTGAAACGAATCTGTCAGTAATAGAATGGCCTGAAATGTCGCTCTCCTGTTTTGATCGATGACGACAGACGGACTGACGACAGAGGAAGCAAGATAAATAAAAGCTAGTAATTAGGTGGGCGGTCAAACATTTCAATACTTGATATATGGGTTTTAAAGGTGGGCGGTCAAACATTTCAATACTTGATATATGGGTATTAAAGGTGGGCGGTCAAACATTTCAATACTTGATATATGGGTATTAAAGGTGGGCGGTCAAACATTTCAATACTTGATATATGGGTATTAAAGGTGGACGGTCAAACATTTTAATACTTGATATATGGGTATTAAAGGTGGGCGGTCAAACATTTCAATACTTGATATATGGGTATTAAAGGTGGGCAGTCAAACATTTCAATACTTGATATATGGGTATTAAAGGTGGACGGTCAAAGATTTCAATACTTGATATATGGGTATTAAAGTCGCGCTACATTTGAAAGTATAAAAAGCGTGTATAAAGCGTGTATAGCAGCACTGACCAAAAGCTGACTAGCACTGACCAAAAGCTGACTTGGAGAAAACTCTAACCAGATTGACGGAGTGACAGACCATAGGATTTTAGAAAGTCACATCCGGGTCTCTGCGGCCCTAATAAATCAGGCTATAAATAGATAGCTGGCCACTAAAAGTAAATATCTGCTAGTCGCTTGATTAAAAACCAGGAATACAAAGGTAGGGACACACACACACACACAATCATTTGTCTATTTGTGTCTATATGTATGTCTATGTGTGTTTATGTGTGTGTGTGTCAATGAGCTTGTCAATACCTGTGTGTGTCTATATGTGTGTCTATGTGTGTCTACTTTAGTGTAAATGATCTAGTCTATGTGTGTGTGTGTGTCTACGTGTGTGTCAATGAGCTTGTCTATGTGTGTCTATGAGCTTATCAATGTGTGTGTGTGTGCCTAAGTATCTGTTTGCGTCAGCAGGCTTGACAAGCATGAATAAAAGAAAAGATAGCACCGTGTGATAACTAGTTTAAAGCACCGTGTGATCACCTGTTTAAAGCACCGGTGCTAACTAGTTTAAAGCACCGGTGCTAACTAGTTTAAAGCACCGGTGCTAATTAGTTTAAAGCACCTGTGCTAACTAGTTTAAAGCACCGCGTGATAATTAGTTTAAAGAACCGGTGCTAACTAGTTTAAAACACCGTGTGATAATTAGTTTAAAGCACCGGTGCTAACTAGTTTAAAGCACCGTGTGATAGTTAGTTTAAAGCACCTGTGCTAACTAGTTTAAAGCACCGCGTGATAATTAGTTTAAAGCACCGGTGCTAACTAGTTTAAAGCACCGTGTGATAATTAGTTTAAAGCACCGGTGCTAACTAGTTTAAAGCACCAGTGCTAACACATACCGAGTTGCCGATCAATGCACTGACGGAGCAATTCAATCGGACCTCGACTTCTGAAGCTAACTTTGACAAGTGTTCATACATGAAATGGGGTGGGGTGTGGTGGGGGGGGGGGGGGTGGGGAGATATTGATCCCATTTTGTCAATATGTGTCAGGAGGAAAGATAAGAGTTGTGTCTTCACACACAGCTGAGGTTAAGGCGTGGAGTGGTGTGTGTTTGCTTGTTTGTGTGTGTGTGCTTGTTTGTGTGTGTGTTTGCTTGTTTGTGTGTGTGTGTTTGCTTGTTTGTGAGTGTGATTGTTTATGTGTGTGTGTGTGGTTGTTTGTGTGTGGGTGTTTGGTTGTTTGTGTGTGTGATTGTTTATGTGTGTGTGTGTGTGGTTGTTTGTGTGTGTGTTTGCTTGTTTGTGTGTGTGATTGTTTATGTGTGTGTGTGGTTGTTTGTGTGTTGGTGTTTGTTTGTTTGTGTGTGTGTGTGTGATTGTTTGTGTGTGTGTGTGTGGTTGTTTGTGTGTGTGTGTTTGGTTGTTTGTTCCTTGGTATTCGGTGTGTGTGTGTGTGGTTGTGTGTGTTGTGTGTGTGTGACTGCTCTTGAACTGAACAGATGAAGCAATGAACTAAATTTTGGCGGATTTTACATTTGAGTGATTCCCCCCCCCCCCTCCCTGTAGGTTTTTACTAAACGATATAATTAATTGATCAAATTTCGGGATCGTTTACTGTCAGGAGCGACCACTTATACAATACCGGCTTTTTAATGGCAGCCTTCAATTAACGGCTTTAAATTAAAGGTTTTAAAATACCGGCTTTAGAATACCGGCTTTAAAATACCGGCTTTAAAATACCGGCTTTAAAATACCGGCTTTAAAATAACGGCTTTAAAATGCCGGCTTTAAAATGCCGGCTTTAAAATACCGGCTTTAAAATACCGGCTTTAAAATACCGGCTTTAAAATACCGGCTTTAAAATACCGGCTTTAAAATACCGGCTTTAGAATGCCGGCTTTAAAATGCCGGCTTTAAAATGCCGGCTTTAAAATACCGGCTTTAAAATACCGGCTTTAAAATACCGGCTTTAAAATGCCGGCTTTAAAATGCCGGCTTTAAAATGCCGGCTTTAAAATGCCGGCTTTAAAATGCCGGCTTTAAAATACCGGCTTTAAAATACCGGCTTTAAAATACCGGCTTTAAAATACCGGCTTTAAAATACCGGCATTAAAATACCGGCTTTAAAATTCCGGCTTTAAAATTCCGGCTTTAAAATGCCAGTCTTATCTCGGATTAAAAAAAAAATTTGACCCGCGTCGTCCCTGTATGACGTCATGACGACATTCATCCCACCCCACTAACATGTCGAACATTCAGACGGACAATCATCAGACGAACAATCATCAGACGAACAATCATCAGACGAACAATCATCAGAAAAATGTAGGCAGAAAACAAAATAATACTCACTGACTAATCGACTAATTGAATGATTGAGTCATTGACTGATTGAGTCACTGACTGACTGAATGATTGAGAGATTGAGTGATTGAATGATTGAGTAATTGAATGATTGAGTAATTGAATGATTGAGTGATTGACTGATTGAGTGATAGACTGAGTAACGAGGCAGAAAACATACCGACCTGCTCAGAGAAATCCACGTCTTTCACTGTCACCTGGCCACCAGCACAAACTGGCTTATCAACAACACCCCCACCCCTCCCCCACCCCTCCCCCACCCCTCCCCCACCCCTCCCCCGCCCCTAAGTGTTTGTCTACCTACAAGTGTAGCCATTGATCATTGCGCTGCCAAATCAAGCGAGAGCCAATCGGTATCGATCCCAATCTAACCACCCCGATATTTGTTCCTGTAGAGCCAATCGGTATCGATACCAATCTAACCATCCCGATATTTGTTCCTGTAGTGCCAATCGGTTTCGATACCAATCTAACCATCCCGATATTTGTTCCTGTAGTGCCAATCGGTATCGATACCAATCTAACCATCCCGATATTTGTTCCTGTAGAGCCAATCGGTATCGATACCAATCTAAACTAAACGACACCAGCATGAGGACTATAGCTGGGCCACATTGACACCTGGGCCACATTGACAGCTGGGCCACATTGACAGCTGGGCCACATTGACAGCTGGGCCACATTGACAGCTTGGCCACATTGACAGCTTGGCCACATTGACAGCTGGGCCACATTGACAGCTGGGCCACATTGACAGCTGGGCCACATTGACAGCTGGGCGGGCCACATTGACAGCTGGGCCACATTGACAGCTTGGCCACATTGACAGCTTGGCCACATTGACAGCTGGGCCACATTGACACCTGGGCCACATTGACAGCTGGGCCACATTGACAGCTGGGCCACTTTGACAGCTTGGCCACATTGACAGCTGGGCCACATTGACAGCTTGGCCACATTGACAGCTGGGCCACATTGACAGCTGGGCCACATTGACAGCTGGGCCACATTGACAGCTTGGCCACATTGACAGCTTGGCCACATTGACAGCTTGGCCACATTGACACCTGGGCCACATTGACAGCTGGGCCACATTGACAGCTGGGCCACTTTGGCGGGGTGAAATGAAATGTACTGCACTGGTCGCCCTTTCCCGGCTATGTCCCGTGTCTGTGTGTGTGGGTGTCTGTGTGTGTGTTTCTGTGTGTGTGTTTCTGTGTGTGTGTGTGTGTGTGTGTGTGCGTGAAAGGGGTATGTTGTAACGAAGTCCAATCCAAATGAACGCTTGGCAAACAAAAGTGCCTCAACAAAAGTGCCTATAGACTTGTTCAGGTCGCGTACAAAATCGATACTTGTATGATCCGTGTCTTCGCTGAACCAATCAGAGAAATCAACAGATCGTATCTAATCGATCACCCGCCGTCTCGTGCAATTAGCAAACTCTCCAGGTGGTCTCAACTGTCGCTTTAAGGGGTCTTGTTAGTCAAGAAATAAAGCAGTCTTGTCTAGTCAAGAAATAAACCTTTGTCTAGTCAATTAATAAACCCGTCTTGTGCAGTCAAGAGATAAAGCTGTCTTTATAAGGGCTTACAGGGGCTTTATAAGGGCTTACATGGGCTTTATATCGGCTTTATATCGGCTGTTCATAGGCTCTAAAGGTTTCGTTTTGTTTCTGACCCCTTTACAGATTGTGACAGTTTCTGACCCCTTTACAGATTGTGACAGTTTCTGACCCCTTTACAGATTGTGACAGTTTTTGACCCCTGTACAAATTGTGAAAATGTTTGGTATTCTAATGTGTGTTTCCTAGTCTATTGCCAAAAGCTAAACCTGAATTTCTCAGATTGAAATGATAGCTATAAAATAAAGAACAACAAATCTTTGATAACGTTTCTCTCGGATTGTGTTTGACTAGCTAAAAACGCAAACTTTGTACACATCAGACATTTAATAGCGGTCACAGTTCAAGTGTGTAATAACAGCAGTGTGTACGGGCCGCAGTGTGTACGGGCCGCAGTGTTTAATGGTCGCAGCGTGTAATGACCGCAGCGTGTAATGACCGCGGCGTGTAATGACCGCGGCGTGTAATGACCGCGGCGTGTAATGACCGCGGCGTGTAATGACCGCAACGTGTAATGACCGCGGCGTGTAACGACCGCAACGTGTAATGACCGCGGCGTGTAATGACCGCAACGTGTAATGACCGCGGCGTGTAATGACCGCAACGTGTAATGACCGCGGCGTGTAATGACCGCAACGTGTAATGACCGCGGCGTGTAATGACCGCGGCGTGTAATGACCGCAACGTGTAATGACCGCGGCGTGTAATGACCGCAACGTGTAATGACCGCGGCGTGTAATGACCGCAACGTGTAATGACCGCGGCGTGTAATGACCGCGGCGTGTAATGACCGCGGCGTGTAATGACCGCGGCGTGTAACGACACCTTACCCTGATGAGAAGCACCTGCAAGGCTGATCAAGGGAAGTAATTATAAAACAAGGCACAGAAAGGGGAAATAATTATAAGAACTATTGAAAAACACGCCCTCCCCAGCGGTGCGGTGTCAGGGGAAGGGGGGGGGGTGCACACGTTGAAGCCAGGTCTATCCTGTCAGGATATTTAGGGCGCTCAAACATTTATGACTTCATCAATACAGAGAGGTGTCTGCTAGAGAGAACATTGGACGAGATTCTCTCAGTTTAACATTGGGCGAGATTCTCTCAGTTTAACATTAGACGAAATTCTCCCAAAGTTTAACAGTGGACTGGTGTAACTATGACATGATGTATGGTCCAAGTATTGCCTCACGTCACGTGGTAAGGACGGCCGAGCCTGACATTTTCTTCTCGTATTTAGGCCAGTCTGACGTCACGAGGAAGAAAATTGCAAACGACGGCCAAAAAACTTTTTGGGATATCTTAATGGCTGGGCGCGAGAGATGGGATTAAGATGGGCAATAATGGGCCGGCACCGCTGGAACCCGCGCTAAACCTGGCCAACTTTTTAGGGGCTGGAACAGGGGATTTGATTTAATAACCCGAAAAACATTTTAGAGCCTTTTAAAGGACAGAGTGGCGTAATGGGTCGGCAAGACAATGGGGCCGTGCGGCAAGACAATGGGGCCGTGCGGCAAGACAATGGGGCCGTGCGGCAAGACAATGGGGCCGTGCGGCAAGACAATGGGGCCGTGAGGCAAGACAATGGGGCCGTGCGGCAAGACAATGGGGCCGTGCGGCAAGACAATGGGGCCGTGCGGCAAGACAATGGGGCCGTGCGGCAAGAGAGGCTGCCCATATATATATATATATATATATATATATATATATATATATATATATATATATATATATATATATATATATATATATATATATATATATATATATCCCCCTAACACCCCCACCCCGCCTTAATAGAGTGGGACAAATCCCCAGGGTCAGACATCTGTCACTGCCAGCTCTTCCGTGTCTTCAAGTAGTCAGCCCCAACCTCCCCCCTCCACTCCCACATTCCCACACCACCACGCAACAAAGCGTTTCATCTGCTTTTGTCCACACTTAATCTGTGACAACCGGCCGCTCCAGCACCTCACGCTAAATTTAGGCATTAGGGAAAACCCGATTTTATCAGATCGAGAATAGTTTCGTTTGCTGCTGTGTAATGAAAGTACAATAACAACAATCACAATGACGTCACAATGACATCACAATGACATCACAATGACATCACAATGACATCACAATGACATCACAATGACATCACAATGACATCACAATGACATCACAATGACATCACAATGACATCACAATGACATCACAATGACATCACAATGACATCACAATGACATCACAATGACATCACAATGACATCACAATGACATCACAATGACATCACAATGACATCACAATGACATCACAATGACATCACAATGACATCACAATGACATCACAATGACATCACAATGACATCACAATGACATCACAATGACATCACAATGACATCACAATGACATCACAATGACATCACAATGACATCACAATGACATCACAATGACATCACAATGACATCACAATGACATCACAATGACATCACAATGACATCACAATGACATCACAATGACATCACAATGACATCACAATGACATCACAATGACATCACAATGACATCACAATGACATCACAATGACATCACAATGACATCACAATGACATCACAATGACATCACAATGACATCACAATGACATCACAATGACATCACAATGACATCACAATGACATCACAATGACATCACAATGACATCACAATGACATCACAATGACATCACAATGACATCACAATGACATCACAATGACATCACAATGACATCACAATGACATCACAATGACATCACAATGACATCACAATGACATCACAATGACATCACAATGACATCACAATGACATCACAATGACATCACAATGACATCACAATGACATCACAATGACATCACAATGACATCACAATGACATCACAATGACATCACAATGACATCACAATGACATCACAATGACATCACAATGACATCACAATGACATCACAATGACATCACAATGACATCACAATGACATCACAATGACATCACAATGACATCACAATGACATCACAATGACATCACAATGACATCACAATGACATCACAATGACATCACAATGACATCACAATGACATCACAATGACATCACAATGACATCACAATGACATCACAATGACATCACAATGACATCACAATGACATCACAATGACATCACAATGACATCACAATGACATCACAATGACATCACAATGACATCACAATGACATCACAATGACATCACAATGACATCACAATGACATCACAATGACATCACAATGACATCACAATGACATCACAATGACATCACAATGACATCACAATGACATCACAATGACATCACAATGACATCACAATGACATCACAATGACATCACAATGACATCACAATGACATCACAATGACATCACAATGACATCACAATGACATCACAATGACATCACAATG